GTAGGGGGTGAACATCTGGATATAACTGAGATATTCAGGTGACTATTTTCAGATTTTGCATCTTGATTATAAATAAGTGTATCATTCACCCTGACCTTGGCCACTGAGCAAAATCCGTGCCTGTGTGCTTTGTCCAAATGTGTATATGTGACGTGGAAGCGAGTAAAAGTACATGTATGCGTTCCTAGCAGTGTGTAAAAACAAAACAAAAAAGTGTGTTATGGGAGCGAGGAAGGGGCGACAGAAACCACTCCAGTTTTGCTAAGATGCTGAAGAAGCTGGGCGCAGAGAGGAGTTACCACCAGAGGTAGGATAGAAGTCCGTGCCTGAGCACGGTCAGCATCACAATGCGCCCAGGTCGGGGCCAGTACACTGAAACCCAACTCCGTAGTTTGCGCCGGAATTCCGCTGGGCGTTCTGGTTCTTTCCCAGCCCAGAGGTTTAGCTTCTCTAGTCTGGACTTTGCCTGCTGTTGGGAGGGGTCCGGCGGCCCTCGGAGGCCCCCTCCTCTTGGTTCCGGGAGCGCGCGGCGCGCGGGACTCCGCACGCACAGGCGCGTTGGTTCTCAGATCTGCCGCAGCGGGCACGCCGTGCCCCCTAATCTAGAGCCTTGGGCGCCCGCACATCGTGGTGTCCGAGCGAGCTAAAAAGGAGGGCTCCATGCGGGCAGCATCTGGGGTCGCCTCCGTGGTAGAAGAGACGCCCGGGGGTACAATTTTGCTGTTTGCCCTCCTTGACAGAGGAAAGGAGGAAGATGTTTGTTTACAAACAGGCCCCGGTTTCTTCCCGCATTAGGAAATCGTTGCGTGGTTGCGTAGACAGTGCCTCAGCGCCAGAGGTACTCGCACAAGGAGGCAGCGGCCTAGACGCTCTTAGGATTCTTGTTTAGTGTTGCTGGGTCGCATGCGCCCATTTCTTTCTTTCCCGGGGCTTTCCCCCTTACTTTTTGGCAAAGAAGCGGGTAGGACTAGCTTCTTAAACTCCAGAAATTAATTTAAAATTTCTCACGCTAGAGGCGAACGCAAATTCTCCGAGCACGTGGGAGGCACCTGAGGTTCCGGTTCACGCCCCTCGCTGGCGCGATGCTCCTGCGGGGCCGACGGGCGGGGTCGCCGGGAGGGTGCGAGGCCGGCTCCCCGCACCCGGGCGGGGGAGGGCATGCAGGAGCCGCATTCCGGCTTCAGCCTAGGTTCAAAGATTAGAAAAACAGGTGTTACGTCGCCATGCTAATTCACTCACTCGGTAAACGCGGCTCAGACAGTTGTGTGCGGAGGACTTAGCGAGGGGGCCGTCCCCACATGGCCGTCCATTCACTTTGTTTATTAAACATCTACTCGGTTCATCGACTACTGAGTTTCACTGGGACGCAGGAACAGCCCGCTGGGCCCCCCAGGACATCATCTTTGGTGTGAAGACCTACCTACTCATTTTGCCCATTTTGCTTCTGAAAGCAAAATACTGCCTTTCTTCTGGTGAAACGCTCTATTGTATGGGGAGCGGGGCACCTCCTGACGCCCGAGGGTGTCTCTGCCGTGGGCAAGGGTTTCAAATCCTAATGAAGCGCTAATACACCTGCACGTTGTTGAAGGAGAGGTAGGGTTTAAGGAACCAGTGACTTAACCGGCATTCTTTCCAGAACATAGTAGGAATAGAAAACTGCTTAACTCTAAAGTGCCATTGCTGCGCCTGGCCCCTCCATTTACCCGTAAGATGTGTCCAGATTTGGCGCGGGGGGGTGGGGGGAGAAGGGTCACGGAAGGTGTTTTTTCACCCTTCCCAAACACCCTCTCTGTTTAAATGCAGTAGTTAACTTGATCTTATCAGGTCTTCTTGGAATGTCGTATGTAAGAGAGCCACACTACTTCGCTCTCAGTGTTCTTACTCCTCTCTTGTTAGGAGTGTCTCACTTGGAGGTCGGAACCCTCCCAGAGCCAGGTCTCTAAGTGTCCACAGCCTCTGGGGAAATGACTCCTTCTAGATTGGAGCCCATCAGCTAGATTCCAGTTTTGAAACAACTATAAAATCTATATGTTTCGTTTTCTCTTATTCTTTCTATCCAGACCCTTCACGTCTTCTTGCCAGGTGCTTCCCAGATGTGTAAATATCCCCAGAAAGCTCCCGTTGTCGTTCTGCGAGCTTACTGCCATTGGGCAGCAAGGAGGTTGCAGATGTCTGTACTTTTGAACACTCTTCAAGTTGTTCCGAATATCAGAAAAAAAAAAAAAAAAGGCACACCCCCTCTCCAGAGTATATGTTTTCTTGGCGGCAGTTCCGGCCACAAAGGAGAGGATGAATGCAACATCACTGGTGTTCTTACTGTCTTTTACCGCCGATGAAACAGCTGCCTCCAAGTGCACCGCCGGGAGGAGAATGGTGGTCACCAGCAGCACCAAAAAACAAGCGGGGAATCGCCTTTGTAGGGAATGATTCCAAGTAGTAGTAATTATTTTGGGGGGGGGGCAAGTAACCTTTCCCCGTTGCTATCTGCTGTCTTTCCTCGGATGACAGAAGAGATTCAAATCAGAGGGTCTCTTAAATATAATCTGTCAGCGATAGTACTTACAAGCGTTTGTTTAAATGAGTCCTGTTGGGGAAACCGTGAATGTTGTAAATGTATTGATGCAGAATGTATCCTTTCGTAAGGAATATTACACTGGACTTGTGTTTCCTGAAACAAAACCACCACCAACAACAAAAATCTTCGCTCACGTTTAAGATAACAGATTGTTGTGAGCTATCTATCTATGTATCAACCACTCTACCTAATTCTATTTTGTGCTGAAATGTTCACCTCCTTTCCTCTCGAGTCCCCTGTCTGCTCCCCATAGGACGACTCCACGGCTGAGCTTTCCACGGTGAGCAAATCAGCCCCCAAACTCGAGCCATTTCGAAAAAGACTCTCCTCTTTGGGATTAATTTAAAGACAGGTATATATATCTTCTCTGGCGATGAATTCAGTGTCGTTGTGGTTTCAGAGAAACGTGAGAGAGAAAGCGCAACACGGGCCCCGCGCAAGCAGTGGGCCCCGAGACTTGCCCCATGGGAATAGCGCGGCCGCCAGGTCGGCCTTTGGGCCGCTCACGCCCGCAGTCTGGGCGACTCCAGCCTTGTCGCCAGGAGCCCCAGCCCCCCGGCCCGACCTCTGCGGCCTCAGGCCGCAGCCCGCCGCTTTCGGACGCGCCGGGCACAGCGGGGCCAGCGCTCGGGGCTGGGAGCGCAGCCACTCGACCCCAGGGACAGCGGGAAGCGAGGGTCCTGCACATCACCCGCGAGGCCCCTGGAGGCCGGGAGCAGCGGCGGCTACCGGGCAGCGCCGACACCCGTGCCCACAGCTCGTCGGGAGCGCTGCAGCCACGCGGGTAGCAGAGGCGAGCCCCAAGCAGGGGCGCGCAAGGGGTGGTGCGGGTCGTGCTCGCGTCACTCAGCCCAGCCGGCCAATGAGCGCCTCTCCCCGCGGCAAGCCGAGCCAATTGGAGGCGAGGAAGTTTGTGAGTGGCATTAAGGGAGGGCGGGAGAGAGGGAGCCCGGGAGTGAAGTTGAAGCTAAACCGGTGAGCTATAAAGAAGTTACAGGGGGGGCGTTTTCGGCTTCCAATTAGGAATAATACTGGGTTCGTAGCAGCTACCGAGGAGGAGGATTCTAAAACCACCTCACCCGTGCCAAAGCCTGCATCCCCCTCGTTCTCCCACGCACCCCTTCCCCAATTCATGACCAAGAAAAGAAAAGGGAGCCAGGGTGCGCTCTGCTCCTCTCTGCGGGTGGGAAGCCGAGAGGCCGGCGGAATTGGATGGTAGGCATGAGTACAATTAAGCGGTGCGCGCCTCTGCACCCCTTGCCGCCAGCGGGGACTGAAGGTAGGTGAAGCGGAAGACACCTTGCTCCCGCCCAGAGGCTCTGCGGCGGAGGGGGAGAGGCCGGGACGCCTCCCACCGCCCCCCTCCCCGTGCCTGCGAGGGGCTGTCGTGAATGTGCCACCTGTTAACCTGGCGCTGCCGTGCCCGGCGTGTTGCCGCCCCCGCTGGGCAGGGAGAGCCCTGGGTCGCCTTGGGAGTCCCGAGGGACTTGATGTGTAAGTGCCACTTTTTGAGGAATCCCTGAGACTTGAGACCCAAGTTAGAGAGGTAGCCAAATTCCAGATCTGCCCAAGTGGGGGGACTGAAAGGCGGCCTCGGCGCTGTGGAGGAATTCTGATCTGTGGAAACCTGCTTTCCTGGGACATGCGCTTGGCCTGGGCACAGGCACGGGGACCGGCGACTGAGGGTCTTCTGAGGGTCTTCAAAAATATGCATTTTGTTATTTGGGCAAGTTCCCAGGGGGCTGGAGAATGTGGCTGGCATGGATAAGGGAATGGGAGCATTATTTGCAGGGGGCTCAGTCTCGCCCCTTCCTCCATATCTTAAAACAAACAAACAAACAAACAAACAAAAACACGGAGCCTGGAGAGGCGCGCTGAGGCGAGCTGAGGCCTTTTCCGGCCGTTTTTCGGAATTCGGGCGAGTGCATGAGTGATTGCGGAGCGGCAGATCTCTTACGCTCTGATGCTGTTGTCTTCACAGTGGCCTGAAAGAGTTGTCCGGCATTCCTGTTCTTCCCAAAGGGGCTCGGAGCCTCCTCAAACGCCGCGAGACTGAAGAGCAAACGTCGGGGATTATTATGTCGATTTTCTGGGGACCGGGGTTTGCCTCGCCAAACAGAAGAAAAGGCTGGCTTCTCAGGGGTCCCGCCGGCATTTGATACTCAGAGACTCCTAGGATTGTCCACATTGCCGTGGATCAGCAACTTTCCTACATTCAAGTCCCCTATTTTTTAAAGAAAATCATTTTCTGTTTGCTGCGTTGGTCTTTCACTGACATCAATACACTGAAGCAAAGACTTTGGTCTTTTCATTCAAAGTATGCTTTATATTTTTGCCAAATATGATCTCTAATTGAAAGTTTATTGTTGCTTTTGGATGAATCTGTGGAGTTTATGTTGTAAGAAGAAAGGGAGAACAAGACACAATGAAAGAGAAGTCCAAAAATGCTGCCCGGACTAGGAGGGAGAAGGAAAACAGTGAATTTTATGAACTGGCTAAATTACTGCCTTTGCCCTCGGCTATCACCTCGCAGCTGGACAAAGCATCCATAATCAGACTCACCACCAGCTATCTCAAAATGAGAGTAGTGTTCCCAGAAGGTAAGTGACTCTGCCCAGATGGAATTTCAAAGGCAGAAGGGGTAGAGGTTTGCCAGTGAGTGAGCCTACACCACTGAACAGAGGAGTACATTCACACATATATACATACTCTCTGCAAAGGGAAGTTTAGCATGGCTGCTTGACTAAGGACCTCTCTGAACTTAGAATTCCTGTTGCCTTTTTATGGCCCTTTCTACTTCCCCATTAATACTTTCTCTCCAGTCCATCGGATATGTTTGGTTGGGAAGCAGCCCAACAGTGCTTTTGTCAACACTTCAGATACTGAGCTCGATTGAAAGTACAAGTAATCCAAACATGACTTTCTTTCTTTCTTTCTTTCTTTCTTTTTTTTATTCCTCTTGTTAGAATTGTATCTAGCAGAAGGCAGGAACATTGCCAAATTCTTGTATTTTGCTACATATAGATAGACCCATGTACGTGGAGCTGGCTAAGCTAGAAGATAATTTCTCTCCAAGTTTATAATTCTGCAGAAGAGAAGCAGGCATATTTATGAACAAATTTGTCCTGAATTTACCCAGTCTCTTGACTGCTTGTAGCAAATTTATTCTGAGTTTTTGAGACATTCACAGATTCTGAAACTAACTCTGGGGCTTCGTGATTTGCAACTCTGAGTTTGATAATATCTCTGAGATAATAGGCTAGGACCCAAATACTTAAGGGTGACCCAAGAAGACTAGCCCGTGTGGAAAATATCTTCTAGGTGGCAGGTTGGCAAACGAGTCCTGGGAAAATTCTTTTAGGGCCTAGAAGGAAGAACAGCTGAGCTGGTCATGATTTAAAACATGTATTTAGATTATCAAGATTCACTGTGTGAGGACAGAGCAGCCGTCAAAGAACACTGTCCTGTATAAAATCATTTATACTCACTAGGAAAAGGATACTTCTCTCCTCCATCTCCCCATCCTTTCCTTTACCCACATTCAAATAATATGTACAGATTTTTTAAAGTATTTAAGATACATCTTCGCTAGAGGAGAGAGATTGGGAAATGTAAAGGAGAGAATACTAAACAAACAAAAAATTCCAAGAGAAAGAACCCTGTTTATTTACAAACCAGAATGTCTTATTTGACCCACAGAGGTTTATGTTATTGTTGATTTTGGGTGTTTGGGGTCTGTTGTTTTCTTTTAAGGAAATAGGGGGAAGGAAATAGCCATTATTGGGCATGGAGTTTCACTTTGTTTGATCTTAACTAGAAGTTATTATCTGAATCAAAATCTTGCAAAACATGTCGACAAATTAGCCAGGGGCACTAAAGGAAAACTTTAAAATTATAGTCCAATTTTACCCCAGAACTACAAATAGTGTTATAGTTGTTTTGTCTTAAAGCAGTTCCTTGAACAATCTCAGTTGACCCTGGAAACTACAGGAGGAGAGGAATCAAAACCTAAAGTTCCTGAAAAGTTAAAAAAAAAAAAAGAAAAAAAGAAAAGAAAAGGGGGGGAACTTATATATTAAAAAACCATATTTCCCATTCAAACTGTGCTGAGAAATGCTGGTGGGAAAAGTACCATTATGCTACACTGCCTTCTGTTTTTTTTTTTTTTTTTAAAGGAGATTTCGTTGTCTTTTATACTGTCAGCGCCTACTTTATAAAAATAAAGCTATTGCGAACTCGGCTGGCCGCGCTGTTCCTAACAGGATTATTAGCAGTGATTTGTCAGCCCCTGCGGTCTCAGTGGGCTCCCTTTCTGCGTGATTTCTAGCGGGTCTCGTCAATTATCGGTGCCGATGTCGCTCGCTGTTTGATCAGAAGAAGCATATGGTGCTGCTTGTGGGGCTGCGAGTAATCGCGGGAGGAAAAGAATAGGGGATCGGCGTTCCCGGGCGGACACAGAACGACGGCTAGGAGCGCCCAGGGAGTTGCCGGGCCGGTGGCGCTGGTCTTTGTCGCGCAGACCCGGGTTGGCGCGACCGGGAGGGTTGCGGGCTGTTTTTTTGTTGTTTTGGTTTTGTTTTCTAAGAGAGCAAGCTGTCTTAAATAAGTGCTAACTCCACAAATTATAAATCGCGTGGTAAATAGGAGGAACAGAAGGTAAACTCTCTTAGCCAACTTCTTATTTTTAAAGAGAGCACTGGTGAAGACCCCCCCCCCCGCCCCCTGGAGTCTCCTTGGTGGCCGGGCGGATCCCCTGTGGCTACTTTAACCGCGACTGTGCTTTCTGCAGCCCCCTTCACTTTCCTCCGGAGCCCGGAGCCCCTCCCTCCTCTCCCTTCTCCGGTGGACTAGTGTGAGTTTATGGGGAGGAGGGGATGGACGATGTGTGAACTCTGGGCACATCATTTATTTCTCCAGCTACTGTTGAGCTCATAATTCACCCGCAGTCTCCACCCGGTGAGTTAGAAGGGTTATCCGAACAGCTGGCTCCTAGGGATGAGGTTTTAATTTTAAGGATAGATTAGCTTCCAAAACCCAAAACCCAGACAACCTTTAAAATATTAAAGCCCTTTAAAATATTGAACAATAACAACAACACCCCCCCCAAAAAAGAAACAAAACAAAAAAACAAAAAACCCAACCTCTTTCAAAGGAGTGAAAAAAATCACAAGCAGCAAAACCAGGCACAACCTGCAGAGGGTGCCAGATTTGGGTTCAGCTGTGGACGGGGCAGAGAGTAGACAAAACTGGGTCCATGACAGTAGGGGAAACTGGGCACTTTATGTGGACGTAACCTTTCTTTAGTGGTGAGAAATAGAAAGAATTTGAAGCTGTAGTTCATGTTTACACCTATCTTGATGCCATTCCAGCACATAGTAGGTCTTAAATTTTGTTCTAAGGATGGAGTAAAAGATAGCTATTTCATCATGGTAAGCATTCTGTCACATGTAACATATGGATTTTGCAAGGTATATAATCTAAAATAATTATAAATCTGATGACATCTTAGTTATAAGCACAATGATGTGCTTAATGATGACTATAAAACTCCACTGTTTTGACTCAGATTACATTTCATCTACAATACCCAGGTAATATCAAAAAGCTTAAATCAACAAACAGAAATCTTTCCATACTTACATTTGAAAAACATAAGAAAATACTTAAAATATAGCTAATTCCCCATCACTAAATAGAGCTCCACCCTCCCCCAGATTCTGGTAGATTCCTGGTCTAGGGGCAAACTTCAGTTTTTACTTATCTGAGTGGATAAAATTGAGCCGTGGAAAGAAAAATGAGACAGAAAGAGAGATTGGGAACACAGGAACAGGATATGGGTGCCTGGAATAATTAAGAATAAAGCATTAGATTGGAGACTTCATACTTAAAAAAACACAGGGAAGATTACTATGAAATCATTAAAACTGCGTATCTCCCATTGGCAGCACATTCCATTCTAAAATAGCCTTCCAAAGAAAAAACTTGAGAAAGGTATGAGTCTTTGGTGTTATCAAAGCTAGAAAGGCAGGATAAAAAAGAGAGATGGTGTTCCTTGTGTGCAAAATAAGACAAATTCAACTAAAAAGAAATATGTATTTGTTACCCAGATATAATACAGGTTTTAGCTGGGGGCGCAGTGGCTTGCTGAATAACCTTTGAAAGGATCAGGCATGTTTTCAAATCTATAGCCATTGAGAATCTTGATAACATCACACTACCATTTCATTGTCAAGATGTCTTGGGAAAATAAAAATAATCACAGAATTGAAATTAGTCACTGTGCAGGAAAGGGAGTCTCTACAAAGGCTGGAAGGACAAGGTTGATTAAACAAACCTCCACAGACCCTTTCTATAATATTCACCTCAAGATTGAAATCCTTAATCGCCTTATATTTTTTTGAGGCCAAGAACTGAAAGAGAAAAAGAGGCCCCATTTCCCACGTGGATGGGTGATTTAAGGCTGTTTTTCTTGCTGCTCGGGGAAATGATTGAGCATTAGGTTTCCATGTTTATTTTCTTACAGAAGTTTTTCTCATTTAAAAGCCTTTAAGCCCAGTTTACGCTCCACGCTGGTTTTCTCTGTTTAATTCCAGTTTTGATGTTGATTTAAAATGTAGAGGGCAGAACTAAACTCCGCACAGAGCATTTGCAAGACAGATTTATGTGCTAGAAATTGTAGATTAGATCAATGAAAAAAATACTTTTTTTTCTTTAAAGGGGACGGTCACTAATAAAAACAATAACAACAACGAAACAGGGCATTATAAGCTATGGCGAGATGCTTTTAAGCAGGGTACAATCACACACCTGAAGCTAAAATCAGGCTAATTTTCCAGAGGACAAACATGATTTCTAGGAGAGTTATTCTTCAGTCCTGGGGGAAATCTCGGCAGCTTGGAGATTTGCAGACGCAAATGTGGACACAATTCGAACCCATGGATTCTGGCTCTATGTCGGCCCAAGTATTTCTCAACAGAATGAAGCTTAGACCCAGCTAACACCTTATGATGTTAGCTGTCCACCCATTGCCGGTCTCTGATTCATGGAATTTTAAGTTTTGCGTGGGGAAGGAGAACCCTCAGTATTTAGCAAGGGGCCTGCTACTTAGTACTAAAACATTGTTGGAGAAGTGCAGAGCAAACTTTCTGCAGGTAGTCCCATCCGGGAGGCGGGTCCTGCGCGGAGTCGCTTGACCTCGGTGGTTCGGGCCAGACCCGAGACAGCGACCTTGTAGAAGCCTCTACGGCCTTCTGGTACGTAACGAAGCACGCAGCTGGGAGAAGGCTGCTTGCTGCCACTCGCAGGCCAGGTCGGCGCGGCGAGGCCCATTCTGTCCCGGCCGCGGATGGCCGCAGCCGAGAGTGCGCCGGCTGGAGTCTCCGCACGGTCCAGACCAGGTCTCTGCCCTCCAAGGTTCGAAGACGTCCCAGCGCGCCTGCCCCAAGCAGAGGCCGGGAGGGTGCGGGAGTGCTCCCTCCGTCATTCGTGCTGCCCCGGGCCACCGCCCCAAGGACGGGCCGTTGTTTAAACCTTAAGTGGAGATCCCGTCCGAGCGGACAGTAGTGCGGCGGTCGAGTCCCGGCTGCCAAATGGAACACAAGTGGGATACGCCTGAACAGCGCGGCAGCCCCGTCCGCCCACCCGCGCCTGCCTTTGGGGCAATGGTATTGCCCCTCCCCGCCACGTTTGAAGACCTGGAGCCCTGGGGCGACACCGCTTGACGTTTTTCAGCGTCACGCAGGCACTATTGTCAACCCCGCGTGCATTTCCGTCCCACAATTTAGTTTGGACAAGGCTGAACCCCGCCTGTCCTTGGTTCCTGCACGTCCTGCTCTCTTCGAGGCAGGCTCTGACGCCGGAGGCCAGCTTGTCTGGCATTCTCGATCCCGACTTGGAAGCCCTAGCTCCAGGGCCAGAGCACAGCAAGGGTGCAGAGACAATCAATGCTGGGACTGTCAGGCTCTACCCCAGATTTATAACTAATATTTGCGGATTCCCCGGGCGCGGCCAGGGGTCTCAGAGGCGCGCAGGGGAGAGCAGGACACACACTGCCACTGCGGAGTGCGGAACATACAGAGGAGTGCAGGACACACACTGTAGGGTTCAGGCCGCGTCGCCCTCTGGAGGTCGGCCACACCCGGCAGGTGGCCGGAGGGCGCCTCGAACCGAGAGGGCCACGGCGCCCGAGGCGTGGGGGTGCGTACGCCGAGCCTCGGGAAGCAGCCTTCTACCCAGTGACGGCTCCGGGCGCTCTGTCTTGTCTAAGGGCGCCCAATCTCCGTCCCTCTCTTCCCCAGAAAGCACAGCTTCTTAGGCCCCCGGAACCCTCACAGGAAGACCGCTAGATTGCTGGACGGGGGTGGTGGAGGGAACCCAGGTGCCTGACACAAGTTCCTCCGGGACCCGAAGTTAGGAGCGCCGTCTCAGAGGGCTTTTCCCCACCTTTGTCACCAAATTGTGGTCAGATCCTGGGACAGCTCTTCCAGTCCCCTTCCCATCCCCATATTGCCTAAAAGGTATATCGCGATCTGTCAATCAGATGAAGCTTTCTGGGAACTACTATAAGGAGGATACATTTCTATTGAGATATAGTTTATTTATTAAAGGGAAGGGGGAAAGAACAGTAGAACAAGCTCTTCTCTTCCTCCTCTTCCTGTCTGAGTGAAGGAGGTGATGATGCCAGGTCTGTAATCTATATTTTGTCAAGGGTATGAAATTCATTCCGAAGGAAAAGCTCGATCAATTTATTTTTGCTGCTTGTAATAACACAGCTGGATGATGCTTTGAGCTCATGCTAGACTGGGGCTCATCATTCATTCGCCAAGAACGGGCCTAAATTGTGCCTGTGGGATTAGGTCAATTTTAGTGGATCTACTTCGCCTCATTTGGTTACTAATTGGTTTCTTGTTTTATAAATCGAAATCTCATTTTCAGGAAATTACAAAACCCGTGCAGTCAGTCCATTGAGGTAATCCTTGGGTCAGGGGGTATTTAAATGGAAATGGCTCAACCGAGCACTGAGGGTAAGAGTGAAACTTCGCCCGGGTTTTCACATGAAATGTGAGCTAGCCCTTTAGATCCATAATAGATACATCCCTTCTAATACTACTTATGTAAATATGATAAACCAGACTTTAAGGGTAGAGGGGGGCGGGGAGAAGCAAAATTTATCTGCTAAGGTTAATGTGGCATATCTTGGAAATCTTCCAAATAGATTATGTTTTCCTTTGTCTTCGGCCACTTTAGCTGGGGAAAATCCTTTTGTCTAAAACCCGATTTAGTTATCGCTTCCCTCACAGAGCTCCTTTTCTCCTTTGCAAAACCCTGTTCCCTCGGCCTCACCGAATTACAAGAGAATCTTTAGATCTTGTTCCCACTGTAATCCTGCCGCAAAGGGAGCTGGTTTCCTCCTCATTTTAAACAGACAATCAAAGGATTTGTGAATTTTCTGCGGTAGGTCAAGTGCAGAAACGAAATCTCAGCTTACCCCCCTCGCCAACCGAAATTGGGAGCGGGAGCGCTTCACCGCCTGAAGGAGGTGAGGGGTTCCGGGGAGAGGGGTCTCTGGCCCACTCCAGGATTTTTGGGAGGCCGAACCTTTGACCGGGGCTTCAGAAGGTGTCCTGGGAAGGCTGAAGGGCGAGCTCAGCCCTAGGATTAGTTCAGGAAAGCCTGGCAGGTAGACGCGGGCAGCCAGTCCCTTATGAAACATTAACCCAGACAAAACCGTGTGACGGAGATTTCAACCGCAAACATAGAGGAGGCAATGCTCCGTGAAAGCAAAAGGTTCCTTAAAAGGTGTGGGGGTAGGGTTAGGAGAGGGCGAGGGAGGCCCCCGTTAACCTGCGCTAGGCCGGCTGTTTATTAACCTGCGGGGAAGCCTTATTTTTCCCTCGTAGGCGCATACTAATGAGGCCGCAACCCGAGACAACAAACAGCCCAGGCTGGCGCTGGGGTTCGGAACCAGTACTTAACCCCGAGCCCAGCTCGGGGATTTTCAAATGATTCGGGTCGGGAGGCCGTTCCGGGGCTGTTTCCAGCCGACTTGGGAGAACTTCACAGTTTTTAGAATAAAGGCTTTTGTTGGCCCCAAGCGCAGACTTCGCACCCTTCCGGAAGACAAGATTCCAGACGCGAGGAGGCCTCTGCCAGCTCCCAGGGCGCCGGAGAGCGCCGGCCCTTCGCCCCTGCACAGCTTGGCGCTTTCAGGCCTCGGCTGGGCCCTGGCGTCCCCTGGCCAGCGCCACCCGCGTCCCCGGCTCTCCTAGCAGGTTCCTTTCCCCTTTCCCCAGTTTGGCCTCCTAAACCAACACCCCCGCCCCCTTCCGCCAATTTTGGGTGTGTGTGTGTGTGTGTGTGTGTGTGTGTGTGTGTGTGTGTGAGAGAGAGAGAGAGAGAGAGAGAGAGAGAGAGAGAGAGCGAGCAGCGATGAAAAAATGAACGCGTCGTGCCGGAAACCAGGGAGGATAGCTTGGCGGAGACTCGAGGAGCGAAGGGAAGGTGACACGGAAGGGGTGTGTACAGGTGGCTGTGGCGGAGGCCCTCCTAAACAGTCCAGGAGGACCAAAGCATCTGGGCAGTGGAGTCACTCAAGGGAGGGAAACTGGGGCGGGCTAACGAGGCAGGAGGGATTGACTAGAGGCGAGGGAGGGAGAGGAGTCCGGCGGCGGGCGGGGAGCCTCAGTGTTTGCAGAGCAGTGGGGAAATCGTTAGATTTATTTAGATGTGCAAACACCCAGAAAGACCCGATTCGAGCTTAAGGGGCGCTCATGGTTACTCGTTACCAGGGTTTTGATCGCTTGCTTAGGAAGCAGCTCCTGGCCAACACATTTTAAGAGTCCAACTCCATGTTTTATTCTGAAAGATCCGCCCTCACCCCCATATTACAATGCGAGTGTGTCTGTCATTGTGTACTTCATAGTGATTTGTACTTTAATGCAGTAAATCAGTAAATCATCCCCCCTTTTGTCATGTTAAACCTTGTTTATTGGTGTAAGAATAAAAGAGTTTAACTACCTAGTTAAATCAGCAGCAACACTGTTAAAAAATATTACCTGTAACTAGTTACAGGTAGTATAACCTCTGTCTCCTCAAGTTTCCTCTGCCTTATATTTTTTTCATTTTCTTTCTACAAATAGGTACTATAGCAGATTCCATATTAATTTTTTAAAAAAATCAGCCACGGGTATTCAGAGAATTTTATTTTTTAGGCATCACCAGAGAAATGATTTCTAGAAAAACCTGGAAAGATCTTAACATGGTAGCATCGAGGAGAGAAAGGGACTTTGTTAATAGATGGTACCTGGAAAGTAGAGAAATGGAATGATTGTCTATATCCAATAAGGAACGGAAATATTGCTTAGACGGTATTAGCACCAGAAAGTAACTTCAAAAGAGCGTATACAATTTTTTTTTTTTTTTTTTTTTTTGGAGTCAAAGTTAGGACGTGTAAGTCGAGGGCTGGCTCAGGGTGGGGAGGTGGGGAAGCAGAGGAAGAAGGATTGCTCTGGGATGTTGGTGCTGGAAGCCATTCGCAAGCAAACGGATTTCTACGGAGGGAATCAAAGTCAGAGGCCTAGGGGAGGAAAATAGCTGGAGAGCCCCGCAGCCCAATGAGAAAGCCCATCAAGGGCCAGCTGGACCTGGCTCGAAGCCTCAGGTATTCGCCGCGGCATTCGCTTGATGTGTGGGGCCTCCTGATAAGGAAGATGATGAAACTTTGGGAGAGAAGTAGTGTCCCTCACCCCTCTAATAGAGCACACTAGTGAACCTACCCAAAAGTTACCGCGGGGGTTCGGTGTCGGCCCCTTCGGGGCACAGGCGGTCCTCAAATTCAGCCACTTGGGGTACTGCCAGGAGGGGCGCTCAGCCAAGGCCCTGCCCTTCCTGAGAAGCGGCCCGGGAGGGGGAGTCTGACCTCTACGCAGTCCTTTGTAAGTGGAGAGGGCGGGGCCGAAATTTACCAGCTCGCGTCTCCTGCTGTTCTGGAGCGAGGGATCTCGGATGGTATCCAGTCATGTGTGCGAACTTGCGTGTGTGACAGAACCGCGAGATTAGGCTCAAACTGCTAGCCAGGTCGGACTCCCATCTCTAAAGGGTGTCTCTGTGTCTCCACAGGGCTCGGCGAGGCGTGGGGCCACTCGAGTCGCACCAGCCCCTTGGACAACGTGGGCAGAGAACTGGGCTCCCATCTGCTCCAGGTACCGGCGCGGAGGCACATATGCTTCGAGGGCTCGGGTGCCTGGCCCCGCGCCGGGCTTCTTGATTTTTAGGGAAATGGGATGAAGCCCAGACGTGGCCTTCTCGCAGCCCCTACAGCTTCTTCAAAATTAAAAAGTTGAGTTCTTAACCTCGTCGGGTGCTGATGGCACCTCTCGAGGCAGAGAGGAAGGCAAGGTGACAATGGGTACGTTGGGTTTAGAAGGGAGTCCCGCAAGGCCCCAAATCAGGATGGCTGAACCGAGGGAGGGAGCGCCATTTGACACCATTCAGCTGAAGGAACCGGAGCGCGCCGGGCCAGGCTGCAAAACCGCCAGAAATGAAGGATTTACACAGGAATAACGGGAATCTGGTAGAAATGCCCATCAATGCTTTAAGCCCACACATTCCGGATCCAGCTGCGCTGCAACTCTTTCGTCTCCCTCCCTGTAGTTCGCGGGCCCTCTCCTCTGTCTCCATGAGCTCTCACCCCAGGCCAGCCCAACCCGTGTACAGACCCTCGCGTACACACATACAGCTCCCCAGGTAATGAGTTTACCCAATGTGGAGGCGCCCATTACCGCCTTGTTTGCAGTGTACACCGTTTTAAATTGCCCGTTGCCCGCTTAAGTCGCATAGCAAATATTTAAAATAGCAAAACTCCCGGTGGCATTTTTAGGCTTGACACTTGTCTCCTACTGTCCACCCCCTTATTATTATCCATGTCCACTGCCAGCTCCTCATGTGGGAACCTCAAACCTAAAAAGCATGGTGGGAATCTGAGCTGGTTCTTCCTCCTGGGCCTGGCAGGAGTGCTGTGGCTTCCCCTGTCCCGCTGCTACACTGTCCCTCCCTCAGTCCTGGAGGCCAATGAGATTCTCCTGTCACAGAGCACACAGAAAGGCCCATGTAAGCATTCCCTCATAGGCCTGGCCTCCAAACCTCTGAATTAAATAGAAAGGCCTGTCCCTCTTTCTCAGGGACACCTTTCATCAGTTGTCTCTCAACAAGGCCCTCCCCCCCCAGTCTTTCCATGCTCCCAGCTAATTTCCCTCATCAATATAAAAAAGAGGATGAAAGCCAAACAATCTTCCACTCCTTCTAGTTCTTGCCCAATCTTTTCCCTCTTCTTCATCCCACACTTCTGGAAGGACTTAATTACCCCCTCAGTTTCCATCGCTCTGCCTGCTGCCCTCACTTCCACACCCTTGCAGTCTGGCATCTCTCCTAACTGTTGTGCTCTGTCTTGGCCCCACCACATTTTGATATCCAGCATAAAGATGCTCATCTCTTATCCTACCCGACTTTGTTCATTCCACAAATATAGGAGGGCCAACTGTGTGCCAGACAGAATGTCCTGCCCACATGGAGTTTACATTCTAAGGAGAGCAGCCTTGCAAACCCACACAGGTGCTTTACATAGTATAACATAGTAACAGGTGGTGTAGGTGCTGGGGAGAAAAATAAGGGCAGGGGAGGGGGCTGTGTTTCAGTAGTGCCACTTAAAATGGGGACATTATAGAGGACCTCACTGAGAAGGGGACATTGGCGCAAATACCTGACAGAGGTGGCACTGCTTACTTGACATTCACCCTCTCCCTTGGCTTCTAAAGTAGCACAATTTCCTGGATTCTTCTCCCTCTCTACTTGCTCCTCTGGTTTCCCCATGCTGTCTGGCTGTAAATGCTGGCATTTCTCCAAAGTTCCACCTCTGTTTCTCCTCTCACAACTTCAAGGCCTCATGGGTGATCTCAGCCAAAACCATCACCTCAACTTCTTTCCCACATTCGCCTGACTCCAGCTGGTTTCTCCTGTCTAGACATCCTTCTGGAGCTCCAGATCTTTATTTCTTACTGCCAACTGGAAATCTGCATAAACCTGAAGTTTAGCATCTCCAAGACAAGAATTCATTTCTTCCCTCCTCCAGACTGCCACTCATACAAAAACTCACCATGCTTCCCTAAATTTTCAATCTTGGTTCATGGTGTTACCCTCTACTCAATGACCTTGAAGTCCCTCTCAGCTTCTCTTTCTGCCGCTATAAATTCCACAGCTAGAACCATCTTTGACTTAAACTCTCCCTCTTTATCATCAACTGTTGACCACCCAAATTTAGGCTCAACCATCTCTGATCTCTTCATCCCCACTTTTTCCTCCTGTAGGTCACTGTCCACATTCTGCCATTAAAAAACAAAACAAAATGAAACACAGGCACACACACACACACACGCACACACACACACACACACACACACACACACACACACACCCCTAAGCATGCTATTTCTCTGCTTACCTGTGTAGAAACTGTTGGAAACCATCTCCAAATTCCTTAGAATGGTATCTCAAACTCTCCAAAAACCCAGCAGCAGTGTACTTTCTTAGCCCATCTCTGGCACACCAAATCCATCACACCTGAGTACACCAGATACACCCTCCCCCCAGTCCCTGCCTTTCTCTCATCATTCCTTCTGCCTAGGATACCCTTTCTCCCATCTCCAGTTCAAGCTTCCTCTTCAAGGCTCTGCTCAAATAGTTTCTCTGAGGCCTCTCTGATTCTCCCGCAGGCCTCTGGCCACTCAGCCTCTGCGGCCCTACAGCACTGTCTTTTCAGCTGTGTGGTCATTATATCTGTCTTTATCCAGTCACTGCTGCTGGACTTCCAGCAACTTGAGAGCAGGATCTGACTCATCCTTATGTCCCCACTGCCTGGACTGAAGCCTCATTCACAGAGATAAAGGGATATTGAAAGTCAAGACTTTCTTTCATGGAAAGCCTGTCGGTTTGATGCATCAACGTAAACACACATATGTACACACTATACCACTACTCTTACAGACTTGCTGCCTGGAAAGCCTCTCGTTTCCTAAACCCCCTCTCCCAGATTCTTTCTGGAGCTATTGGGCAGCTGCCTTCTGTCTACAAACTTTTCAGACTTCCAGCCCTTCCATATGGTTCAGTGCCCATTTCCCAAGCCCTGCTGCTACTCTTTCCATTATAGGATGCTGCCACTATGGAGTCCTCCAAGACTGACACAGGAAACCTTTCGTTCTTTCAGTGACCATCACCGCAAGAAACTACCTACTTCTTATCACAGGCTGTAATCCCCTGCCCCCTATATTTGTGTGTGTGTATGCTATAGATATGTCTGTATTGTCCATTTTGGTGAATCCCGAGTCTCAGAGGACAGTAGTCTTGCCAGCTACTTCCTCCAGGCATCTCCCAGTGTGCTGCATGTCCCAGATGCTTACATATTTGGAATGAACAAGAGAGGGACTCTTGTGGCAAGTTTTCTATGCCCTATTTCCTGTCAGCCTCTCTCTATCCCCTCTGTCCGCTCTTCCTGGCTGAACATCTCTAACTTCTGCCCCCAAACCCAGTTTCTCCCCATGGCCCAGGGGGGCTCTCTATTCAACTCTGTTTCTATCTCCCTAGACCCTGGACGGCTTCATCTTTGTGGTGGCCCCAGATGGGAAGATCATGTACATCTCGGAGACAGCCTCAGTCCACCTGGGTCTTTCTCAGGTAGGTGAGTGGTCCACACCTCCAGCCTTCCATGTTTACACTGAGAGCTGGAGGCCCGCGGTAAGGGTGGGGGTGCTTTCCCACAGCTCTTATATGTGCATTTCTGGGCCTGGAAACATCTCGGCTGGCGGGCAGGTCTGCATCTCCCCTTTCCTCTACTTCCCTTATCCTTACCCCTTACCCTGCTACCTTTTAGAGTCCCAACCATAAGTCCAACATCATGGGTGTTGTTTACTTACTAACTTCTGATGTGTTCACCTGAACACTGTCAGGGCACTGCTGTACTACTATTCTAATTACTATTATTACAGTATTATTATTATTTCCTTTCATAGATGAGGAAGCTGAGGCTTAGATAGACTGCAATAGGTAGCCAGCAGCAGAACGGGAATAAAAACTCAGTGCTGACTCTAAAGTTCTGGCTCCTGCCCTCACAGTCCTGTAGACACGCTGGTCCAATCTTCTAGCCCTGCCAGGGCATTCCACCACCTCGGAGAAGGTGATACCCCCCTCTTTACAGGTAGAGCTGACTGGGAACAGCATTTATGAATACATCCACCCGGCGGACCACGATGAGATGACCGCTGTGCTCACGGCCCATCAGCCCTACCACTCTCACTTCGTCCAGGGTAAGCAGTGCAGGCCGGCGACACTTGGGCCCAGCTCCTTTCGCTTGTGGCTTTTCCCCAATTAGCCACTGGAGGGGCAGGGACTGGGTCGCCGCCCCACCCGTCTCACAGGCTCACGACCTGCCCCTCCTTCCGCTCCTCTCTCCCAGAGTATGAGATCGAGCGCTCCTTCTTTCTGAGGATGAAGTGCGTCTTGGCCAAGAGGAACGCGGGCCTCACCTGCGGAGGGTACAAGGTGCGTGGCTGAGAGGGACGATCCTAGCCGCGTGTAGCGGAAAAGGGCAGGACCAGAGGAGCTTGCGGCGTGGGAGGGACGTTTCGGCGTCGCTGACTGCCCCGGAGGGCATCCCCCCGCGCGCGCCGCAGCGCTGTCTGCCCGGGAGCACCTGGAGAGTTGTTGAACTTTGTGAACACTTGGGGACTACTAACTTTAAAGACTTAGTTTCACTGTGTCCGGTTACCGCCCGGCCGCTGGGACTCTTAATCTGGGGCTCATAAGGAGCCTTGGGGGTGTGTAAAGCGTCTGAAATGGTCAGTCATTTTGGCGGATCCTGGAGTTTACTCACAGCGTCAGATTCTGACCCCCAGAGGGGTTAAGAACCAGAGCTTTAGCTCAAATCCATGGCTCTCTTGTTTAATGAGAGGAAACTCGATTAGAATGCAGGTTCCAGGGCCCCACTTCCCGATTTTGAGGAGTTAGGATTGGCAGGTGTTGCCAAGCCTCTGTATTTTTACAAGCTCCCAAGTGAGTTCCGTGTGGCAGGACAGTCATTCCCTTGAGACGCTGGAACACCAATAAATTTGGACACCTCAGTGCGGGGGCGTGGCCCACACGGCCTTTGTGGCCCTGGGGGAGTCTCAAAATGTTTCAGTCTCTTCCCCACCTTTTTGGGAATGTTTCCTGGCTGTGGCTGAGTCTTCCCGCCCCCCTTCACCCTTCACTGCAGGTCATTCACTGCAGCGGCTACCTGAAGATCCGCCAGTACAGCCTGGACATGTCCCCCTTCGATGGCTGCTACCAGAACGTGGGCCTGGTAGCCGTGGGCCACTCACTGCCTCCCAGCGCCGTCACGGAGATCAAGCTGCACAGCAACATGTTCATGTTCCGCGCCAGCCTGGACATGAAGCTCATATTCCTGGACTCCAGGTGGGTGGCTCAGGCGGGAAAGGATACACGAGCGGGAGGGCGGCCCTGCTTAGTAGCTGAGAGCTCTTCCTTGACCTTCGGAGCCCATTTTGCAGATGAGGCGACTCACCGGGCTCTGCGAAGTGGGGGCGGCCACCAGGTCTGAGAAGGCTGTCTGGGGTGGGGGTGGGGGGCATCCCGGCACCCTCAGCTCATGCCGCGAGGATTGCTCTCCTCAGAGTAGCGGAGCTGACGGGGTACGAACCTCAGGACCTAATTGAGAAGACCCTGTACCACCACGTGCACGGCTGCGACACCTTCCACCTGCGCTGCGCCCACCACCTGCGTAAGGCGCCCCTCTTCCCGGCATCGGACTAACCCCAGCGCGTCCCGGGGAGGGGAGAGGGCGTGATTTAAGTCCACAGTAAGCGGATGGGTGGAAGCCCTGGTAGCCAGGGGCGGGTGGTGCGAAGCCCTTGCCAGCGAGCCGTCGCTCCAACGCTGAGCCCCACCTTGTTTCTCTAATATCCGCGGGAAGAGTTTCTGAGTTTCTGGGTAAATTCCCTCAGGAGGGGTTTTATGCTTCCCTCTCCTGCCCTCTGCAAACCTCACTGAAGACCTGAATAAAAACTGAGGCTAGGCCACTTGGCTCACGTGCACTGACCTGCTTCGGCTTTTGATAGAGCTTTGCTTTGAACTTAATCTCCAGGAACAGGGACCATGAGCCTCGGAGTTCAGCTGCCCAGACACTACCTTCCTTAGTTAGAAAGTTGAACGGGGGAATCCCCCTATTTTAAGCGTCCTCCACCCCTTTGCCAATCTCAAGGGACTGGAGGACTCAATGCAAAGTGACAGGACAATCAATTCCTTTGGGAATGTACGGGTTGTCTCTCCCTCCTGCCTGGGCGCAGTTATCAGGGCCCATAGGGACCTGCACTCCCACCGCCAGGGTTTGCATTTGAGCGGGCTCCTTCACCCCCAGCTGCCTCCTGTCTCTCCATCAGTGCTCGTGAAGGGGCAGGTGACCACCAAGTACTACAGGTTCCTGGCGAAGCACGGCGGCTGGGTATGGGTGCAGAGCTATGCGACCATCGTCCACAACAGCCGCTCGTCCAGACCACACTGTATCGTCAGCGTCAACTATGTCCTCACGTGAGTGCAAGTCTGGAACCCTTCGCCCACTCCAGGCAACCCTGGTCTCCAAGGGGGTACGGGTGGTGGGCACTGAGGGTTAGAGGAGGCTGGGGTCCAGTGGGACGCAGGTTCTGACCCCGAAAGCAGGCTGTGCTGGGAGACGGCAGCTTGAGCGCTTTCATCTTTACGAAGAAGATTCCTTAGTTATTTTCTAGGGAAAGACTTGGTAGTTTTCCCCTCCAGTCTATATTTGCTTTCTGCTCTCTCTCTCTCTCTTTTAACCTTTTAAGCGAACTCTGCATTAAATAAAACTTAATGCGGCAGAAAGAAAAGAGAGAGAGGAAAGCGTCCGACGTACGGAGCCATTTATGGTTAACAAACAGGACATCTGTTTCACTTTTTCAAATCTGGGTTTGAAGTTCTTAATTTTAACCAGTCACTCCAATCAAAGTTAAGAGTTCTGAGAGAGTGGTTCTTACGCTGAACCACAAAGGGGGTTTAAGTGCCCAGGAAGGTCTGAGTTTAACCTCCAGGAAGCAAAGGGACCCGAGCTAATACTGCAAGTCTTGGCCGGTGCCCAGGCCCCGCACGTTGTGTGACCGCATCACGAGGTGAAGAGCCGGCCTCGCGGTGCCACCTACGGGCACAAATGGCTGGACAGACGCGGTGGCGGCATTTGAGTCTTATTCTTTCTAGAAACAATAATCGTTTCTGGTCCGCGGTGTGGCCCTGCAGGCTGACCACGTGGTATGGTGTGCGGCTGCTGAAGAAAGCGCCTTCTGTATAATGTTTGTGAAGTCGAATTGCTCAGATTGGAATCCTTTATGAAGAGCCCTTTTGTGTGCACAGTTGCCGAGTTTTTTTGGTAGTCACTGAAATTTTTGTGATTTTAGGGGACCTCAGGAGTTTACTTTGGAAGCATTGACACACCTGGCACTTAGTAGAAATGCTATTTTCACATTAGGATGTTGGTTAAGGGGTACTATTTGGAATCAGACTATACTACAGGCATGAGGACTAGATTCATTCCATGTTGTTTTAAATTGCCGAATTAAAAATGTAGTACTTGAAAATATTGTGCTTGGCAATAGACTGTTTACTCTGTGTCCTGTTTAATAAGAAAATTTAATTCAATAGACTTGAGAAATGAATTTGGTGTAAATGAGGATTCAGTATTCAAGAATAATAGCTGGTTATTAAGGAGAATCTTTTTATTCCTTTCATTTAATAAATGGTACTAAAATAAATACTATTAGGTTTTTGTAATAGCAAGAAAGCTGTGGATTTTAATACAGAGCAGAAAACATACCAATATTTTGGGTATCATGAAACAAAACCATCTATTTTATGAAAGCAATTTTTTATATTATTAAAATAAACATAAGAGAAAATGGCAAAACATAATTCATAAAATAAGCCACTCTGTGAAGCAGAAGTATTAAGGAGTGAAAAATTATGTCTGCTTACCATGGAAAGGAAATGGACATTCTTTAAGAAGGTGCTTTGTATGTCTGAGACATCACAAGCATTATACATACACTCTGTTCTCTGGTGGGTGCCTGTGGTTAGTAATCATTTTTTATCAAACAGCAGGGTATATAGTCACACAGACCCATATAAATGATCAGAATGCAAGTTAGACCTCCCAATGGGTAAGCTTAATTTATGTTTGGAGTCATTTTGAAATATTCTGTTTTGTTTTCCAGTGGATAAGTGTACTTCCTTTCTTCTTTTAACTCTGTCATTCTTCACTTCACACACTTCTCCAGAGCTGCAGGATTAGGCTACCAACTTTACATCAGATTAAAAAGATGTAATGAGGATAAATGATTTACAGAAGGAAAAAGAGCATGGCTCATATTTTTCTAAACGTTTTCTACCTCTGAATGAAAATAGAAATAAACACAGAAGCACACAAGATGAAAAGCTGAAATTGATTACCCTTTTATGAGTCTCAACTCCAATTCTTTGTATAAAAATTCTTAGGACAATTTTTATAGCTGCAAATGTGGAAGATGAAATGTCATCAAGTGGCTCTGTGTGTGTTGACAGGATTTTCATAATGAACAGGTTGCAGTTTGTTTGATGTGTATATCACACATCTGGCTGGAAGTTACTAATTTACATTGTCTTAGCAAATTAAATAGATGGCTATTGATTCTCTCTATGGTAGCAGTGAACTACCACATACATTTGTTTTCAAGGCTAGTTCTCTATGAAGCCTGAGAATGATAAGTGAATTCTTTCCAAATAGGCCACCTCAAACAATGTACTTAAAACAACAAGCCCCCCAAATAATTTGACAGGCCAGATGTTTCCCCAATTTAGACATGTTAATAGCATACATTTTGAAGGGATTGTCATATCATGAAAGTAGAGAGAATTTTAAATAAGCATTGGTTAAATGAAGGTTTACACCTTCATATTGATGGAAACTACATTCATAAGAGACTCATTTTTCAAATTTCCTGTTGGCCAATTTATTGTTGAAGTTAATATATGCCTAGAAATACCCGTCATTATTATCTGACAAAAGTGATGACGAATAGAAATATTGAGTAACCTTGTTCTAATAAGCAGCTGCAACTGCGAATATAGGAATTTTAGAGGCAGGGGGTAACTGCCTTTGTATGACCATCACACAAAATGTTCGTGTTCTGAAAATCTAGAGAGAAGGAGAGGACACTATGATCAGATTTTAAAAATTCTCTTAGTTTTTCTCTGGGTGCTTGAGGGTCCCTAAAGCTAATACAGCTCTTCATTAAAACTCAAAAACAAAAACAAAACAAAAAACTCCTTTCAAACCAAAAGACAGATCAGTTCATGATTTTCTGTAAGACACACATATCCTGTTAGCTTTATGTTCCACCTTAAAAAAAAAATCACTCTTATAGGTCTTGAGTGCCCACAGGCTTTGGAATAAGTGTTAAGTATGACAAGCCACACTCCCTGATTATTTCCAGGAGGATAGATGAATGGAGGTAGTATCTAGTAACAGTGAATATTGGGGAAAGTCCAGACAAGTATGGAGAGTACAAGGAATTCTGTATGAAAACTGAGTAGTTTTCCTGAATTCATATTTCCTTGAGTTTGTTTAATTAGTAGTATTAATTATTCATTGCCAGTTCAGAGGGAAAACATTAGTGCTCAATGTGAAGAAAATTGAAAATGTGGAACACCCAATAAACTACGAAAAGTAATTTCTAGAAAAATGAAGAAGAGTCTTGATTCTTTTTATGTTTTTAAACTTCATATGTTATAAAAATAAAACTTTTAAAATCTACTTTTAAGGATAAACCAATGAAGTGTAAAAATCCCATTTTAAAATATATAAGAACAATACTTTTCCAAACATACAGAAAAGTTGACGGACTAGTACAATGAATACCCATACACACATCATCCATAATATAAGCCATTTTTGTTTTATTCCTGTTTCTACCTATATGTATGTTTATTTGTATGTGCATTTTTCTCCACTGAATTATTTCAAAGTAAGCTACAGACATCATGATTCTTCATCCTAAATAACATTCTCCTGCATAGCCACTGTGCCATTTATGATGGCACATTTAAAGGGTTCAAAATCACTGTGTGTAGAAGGTTGCAAAAATATACATGAGATCTAGTTTACTGATGCCATTAAAAACAGTCTGTCACTGACATTCATCAAGTACTCACTGATACATGACCTCAGTCGATTGATTGATAGATGATATTTTGCGAGGGGACTTCTGTGGGACATAGTTGTAAAACCTAGTGTATTTTAAATTAGACTTCTAGTAAGAATTGTTAAGTTAATAAAAGTCTGGCATTTTTTTCTGGAAAGTAAAATAGATTTTGAGAGTGATTTTGGTAACTTTGGAATCAGACAGATTTAATACTTTCAACCATTTTTGTTCATAAAGAAGGCTTCTCTGCTTATATCCTAAGTTTAGGATAGAACATTGTTTTAGTGGAAAATCTCACATACTGTTTTAGAGTGATTCACTGAACACATAAAAGGACTTTTCTATGATAAAATTTCTATTTCAGTGTTTCAAAAAGCAGAACAAATAGACAACACTAATGATTTACATTAGTGGTCTATGCAACACTATCTACTAAATAACCCTTTGCATTTGTAGAAAAGTTTGGGCAAAATGCCAAAGGAGACATACTTCCTTCATGTAAAAGAAAACAAAAAAAGGTCTCTATATTGTAATTATTGCAGGTCCAATATTTTTGCTTTTCTTTTTATAAAACCGCTATAGTTCCCACATTTAAAAAGGGTCTTTAAGTGTTAACATATTCTGTGAATTTAAAGCCTTATGAATTCTTATCGCAAAGCAGCAAATGTTAAAATATGCTCATGTTAGTTTGCTCTTTCAAGTGTATTAATAGTGCTGAGTTAATTTGGGCGTTTAAATTAAAAATTATCTTTTTATTAATGTAAAGCCCCAGTGATATTATTGTTTTTACTACTAGGAAATTTTAGAAAATGCTTTTTAAAAATTTGACCAATAATATATATAGTTATAGAAATAGATTTTATTTTTCTGGCTAGCAAAACCATTTTTAATATTATAAATAATGTCAAATGAAGTGCCTTTTGACTTAGCAAGCTATAGCAAAATATACTCTCATGCCTTGGATCTGTGGAGCACTTGTTGCATAGAATTAATTTTTTGATCATTAAAAATAATAATCATGCACTAATGTATACCCATAAATTAGATTTGAACCTTAATTGTGTTTAATCTTTATTATAATAATATTGAACATCAAAGCCCCAGTTGTCCTTTTCAAATGATCTTTTAAGTAACTGAATGATTATAGAAATGAATTGAAGACACATTTGTATGAATCGTAATTTATAACAACTAAAACTATTAATAGTAATTAATAGTGATTTTATAACTACTAAAACACTTTATTAAAAGAAAGAGCTGGGGCATTTAGCCTGTTTTATAGTTCATACCAACAGTACTCACTTAAATAATGTTATCCTTCATATCCTTTTTACTTATTGTAATTTT